GGAAGGCTGACAGGCAGGTAGGCCATCCAGTTATTGGCTAAAATGATTGGTCGTGCTTTTTACAGTATTACGGCTTCCACAGATGACATTTTTTTATGGATTTTTTGTCAAAGCACTTAAGATATTCATTGCTATCGGGATGTTAAGAGCATTCCATGGAATATAACAAAAAGTGTATCTCGAGCCGGTTTCTCAAACTTCCACCTTTAAGATAATTACAAATAAAGAGCTACTGTTTTGGTTGATTCAACCTTTATGCAACATTTAAGTTCTATTCGTCTTTATAGCTAGAGCCTTTTCTGCAGTGAACATTCATCAAGATAGGTCAGATTATTTGTGTAACCCTTAATAACTGCTTCTGTCTCAAAGGGCTTCACAACACTCGCATTATGAGAATAAACCACCCACCCCCATACCCATAACCTTCCAATTAAGGATGAGAAAACACTTTGAAAAGCTCATTAGAAAGGAAAAGATTGGCCCCAGTGGGAGAGCCAGGCCTAGAGTACAGTAGGAGCTGGAAATGGGCCAATGAAGATTAAATGTATGTTTAATCTCTTCATTAGATGTACGCGGTTTTATTTGGGAAGATAGCATTCGAGGAAACATTCAGCTCACATTATTATCACTAAAATAAAAACAGGAGATGTTAGCAATCTGATGAAAGACATAATACAACAAATCACTAATACAAAAACACTTGTTTTACTCTTATGTCAATAGAAATTGCACTAGGACAGATTCTGCCTATCGACAGATGTACAAGTTGAAAATGTTTTGAATAAAAAAAGACTCAAATATTCATATTTTCTGCATAAACAACATTTGAAATTCATGAGTTCTGGCAAAGTCGGTGTTTGTTCAAAAGATCGCCTAGTTTTGATTTGGCATCTACGGCTGTGGGTGAAAGAGAAAACTTTTCCTCAAATCATGCACAAGTTCTAAACGCAATTTAAAATAAAGCTGATCCTGAATCAACGCTTCCATTCAGAGAGATGATGAGAAATGTGAGCAGAGTCCTTCTTCAAACTGTAAACATCAGATCCAAAGATCTTATAGATGTTTTCTTTACTTCTCCCTTTTTAAGTGATTACTAACATGATGTATTTAGATGATTTTGGTGGAGTGGAGGGTAAAAAAAAGCTATTTCTTCTCCAGACACACCGTTAAATCATGATCGGTTTCCCAGAGAATGACTTTTTCCAAGATTTTCATTAACGTTCAACTGGGGCAGAGATAAAGTCAAACAGAGGTAATTAGAGTCCAAAAGCCACATGCGGCTCTGATTCGGAGAGGCTAATAAAAGATTTATATTCTTTTCATCGCATGTTGAGATGCTTCTTTTTAAATTAAATCTGCAGTGTGATCGGCCGTGTAATGACTTGTGTGGAGTCTCTGTTTTGTGCAAATCGTATTAAGCTTTAATAGTTTCATCCCAAAATATCTTGTTGTCCTGAAATTGAAGAAAGTGATGCGATTTTATTTAGGCTTTCTCTGGGATCAGACTGGGGGGTTTTAACTCCATTTTATTTTCATCTTCTTCTAAAACTTCCCTCTGGTATTCACTGATTCTTACACATTGAGAGATGTTTCTTCATTCTTCTGCCACTTTATTTTTTTGCTGCACAGTTAGTGGTTTGTTATCTGTTAACTTTGCAAAGATACAGGAGGGAAATGGTTTTAATGTTCAAATATCCTCGGTACGTGTTGTGCTGCAATGTTTCTTTGTGACATGGAGCCACTGTTGCTCCTGCACTGAGAAGCAGAGGCAAAACACTTTACATTTATATTGGTGTTCAATTTTGTTCAGGGAATTGCAGCAACTGTAACCCAAATCTTTCCACAGTAGACCTACCTGAGCTTTTCTGTTGCTGCCACAATCTAAATATACATTACCTTTATAGTTTTAGGTTTATTTTCTTCATAAATTCTCAATGTCAGTCCTCACAGTCCAGGTCCCGTCCAGAGACCAGATTTATTTTACTCACAACTCAGAAACTACGCTTAACGAATGGGCCAAAGAACAAGCCATTACATTTTGGAACGTGTCCAAATGACCAGTCAGATACCAGGAGTTTTTATTATATTATTTATGTTTTAACATTGCAAGAAAAAAGGGCAATTGGTCTGCATTTATGTGATGTTGTAATAAAGCAAAATAGTTTTAACTAGGATATTTTATGTGAATGCCTCAGGTCAGATCCACAATTTGACTTTAAAAAAACAACTAATTGAATGGCTTACCTGAACCGTTCACTCTGCTCTTTATTGTCACGCAAATACTGGAAACATTATCAACAGTAAAGTAGACCAACAAGTGCTATACTAGTTTTGTCCTGTGTTTCACATATCAGGCTTCATACAGGCTGACATTATTGGTGGTTGTTGTTGGAGCTGAATTCAGGCTTAAAATCAATACCTGCATAATATGCTCAGACCCAATGTCTCAGTATCGCAGGATTCATTCAAATACACATCAATATTTTAGAAAAGGCAGTAAAGCACATAGAGTAAACATTACAATCAACTATTAGGTCTCCATCAATAGAGACAATTTAAGTAAGCTTGCTGCCAAATAGCTTTACTATACTATATCGCATAAAATATAAAACATTTTAATGAAGGGAAAAAGATGCTGAATATTGTGTTTATTTTACCCCCCCACTTTTGTAAGCAAACCTACTCCCTTGTGTTTACCTCCCTGCATCTCATTAAAAGCGCTGTGCATAACTGCTCATTGATGTACAGTAGTGAAGATTGGCCAATTTACAACACATACTGATGGGCTCGTGGGTGTAGCTGCATTCTTTGTCACACTGTTTTACATTACATTTAATATCCCATTCATCCCAGATTGCCAAGTCTGAAGGGATTTCATGTTACAAAGAGTCCTGCCATATGTTGTTTGTGCTAACTGTTGGGGGAAAGTCAGTATGACACTGATCTGGTTATACCTATTTTAAACTATTGCAGTAATTCAAGGTGATGCACACAGTGGTTGAGAAGCTGTCATTTTATCTGAGAACAAAACTGAGAGAAGAGGAGATGCTTTGCCAGTTGCGATGATATGAAAGGACAGACTGAAGCCCACAGGGAACTATTGGACTGCTTGTTCTGAAGGGATTTGTTCTGGATCAGGATGTGCTGCCATTAAAAGGCTGGTGTCAGATTTACAGTATGAACTCCAGATCAAATGTAGGAACAGATGATGGTACATTAATTTGCCCACAGTGCGATAGTCCACTCAAAGACAGGCATGATATGGAAGGATGACTGAATAATTGCCCTATCTCAAGGACTATCGATATAATGCACGGATACAAATAGTAACCTAAAACCAGCCACTGGTTCAAGACCTAGCAAACAGACACAACTGCAGCATCAGTCAACCTCAATCCACATAGATTTTCATGTCCCATGATAATTTGTAAGCTTGCATCTTAAACAAATAAGAAGATAATAAATACATCTTGATTAAATCTTATTAAATAAAGATTTAGTAAACATAAAAATGTGAACCCAAGGCACTCAGTGTGTGATGGGAGATCAAACTCTCAGCCCCAGAACACCATGTGTCCATCGTCTGTCTTTTCTCCAATAAAAAGGGTCAATGAGAATGCCCTGATTTCTGAATCTGTTCACCCAGTGAAAAGAGGTCTGCGCTCTGCTATTGCCCTTCTTACTACAGTATGTGATTATTCTTATATATATTTAAGGATTATGAGTTTTAATGGGTTTAGGATGTTAAAGCTTTAAATGTTACACCCGTAATGCGATGTACCTTTTTAAACACTGTGATATTGAACGTAATTGACCATATCGATACTCTGGCTCACTGCAGAGTGTAGCAGCTACTGTCTGAGGACGAACTCCCCAGGTAATGCTCTGATGATCGACTGTAATTGGCAGTTTGACTGACAGTTACTGTGTGACTATCACTACGGTCCTGCACTCTGCCTGAACCCTACCTTACCACTTCCCCCTTTTAGGCAAATATTCAAAACTAACCATAGAAATCAGCAGAGAGTTTCAAATTGAGGCAGCATGCCATTGTGACAATTTCCCTTTGTCAGCTGAGCAGTCAGCTCAATGCTGATTAATGAGCTAGGGTCAAAGTCTCCCAGGAGGAAGTCGCCATTATCTCCAATACTGCGCTCGTGGGAATATCTGAATAGAGGTGAAGTCAGGAAAGGCAATCAGTGTTAATCACAATGAAAGAGCACACACTTTGATCTATGCTCCCCTTCCCTTTCCCTCCCCGTTTGTCCCACTGGGCAAACGGGGAAATCCAGCAGAGACTAGTTAGGCCATGTTTTGTTTTATGTAAAGGTTTTGGCTATTATTGCGGGTTCATGAATACAATCTAACCAGCAGTTTTTAGACATTTTGTGAGGCTGCTTTTTCACAGAGGGTACAGTGGCTGGAAGACAAATGTTTTATTGATTAAACAACAACCATGTGAAATAAAGAGAGTAACAATGAAACAAATGTAAATAAAGATTATTATATAACTAGATGGGACGATTGGGTGCACCGTATGCAGGATTGTGTAAATGTTCATATATCTTGGGCTCTCTTTACAGCTCTATGCTGGGTTTATAATCATAGCTTTCCTCGTTGTTATGTTCAGTCAAATCATAAAGCCAGCCAGATTACTCTGCCTAAATTATTTTTGTAATGGTTTTCAAGGGATTTGTGCCTGACTCAGCCCCTGTGCTGTTAAATCTTGACTTCAGGTGTTATTAAAGAAAGTATTTTGGATGCTGTTTGACTGTTAGAAAATGTATGCTTTGATTAAATTGAACAATAAAAACTTGATTAGACCCTATGTTACCCAGACCGTAAAGGTGTATTATCTTCACTATATGGGGTTTCTTTTGTCACAGATGAGAGGTAGAGCAGCACGGTGAAACCAGGGAGAGCCTCATTAAACTGCAGCGCTGAGTTCTCCTTCCTCTTTTTTGTTAACACCATCTTTCCCCCCCTTTCATCTGTTTCAGGACTCAGATTCACTTCACAGTGGCCATTGATTTCACTGCATCAAACGGTGAGTGTTTTCACTGCCATCACCCTGTTCTGCTTCCATTTGTCTTCTGATGCATGAATATGGCATTTTTCATGAATCAAAGAAGGGGTTGGATTTTCTCTCCCTGCTTGTTATATTCCATCTTTTATACATAGCACAAAGGATTATAAACTGAACTCAGAAAAGGTAAACAAAACATGTATCTTGTGCAGGGTAAAAAGAAAGCAATATGCTGCTTATGTAAGGACAAAATATGCAGTATATGTGGAGGTTGTGTCTAAAAAGTAAATGTAAGCACATTTAACCAAGAAATGTAAATAAGTACAATTTTGAGGTACTTGTTCCTTCCTTCCTTCCTTCCTTCCTTCCTTCCTTCCTTCCTTCCTTAAGTGAAAAGACACGTTTTGAATCCTAGTATTGTTATTAGCACATTATAGTCACATCGAACACCTCTGATTCAGAAGATCCTTTATTTAGTTGAGGCTCTCTCACGTTGCTCTGGTTGCAGCTGTCGGCCCGGCCTCACTCTGATGGTTTGCTTCACTGACTCTGACTTCTCTTGTCTTGGAAGGAAATCCGTCCCAGTCTACTTCACTGCATTACATGAACCCTTACCAGATGAATGCCTATGCTATGGCTCTCAAAGCCGTGGGAGAGATCATCCAGGACTATGACAGTGATAAGATGTTCCCGGCTCTGGGATTTGGTGCTAAGCTGCCCCCTGATGGAAGGGTCTCCCATGAGTTCCCGCTGGTGAGGAAACTATGAGCTTTTTTTTACATAGACTGTATAGGAAGTGAGCGAATTCATCAATCGTTGATTTGTAGAATTCTGTTTTAAAGCCTCAAGTTTTCATCCATTTTGTTATTTTGGGGCGACACAAGAGGGCGATTCTAACTGGGATGCTAAACAAGTTTGTTCTCAGGACAAAAAAAGAAAACAGTGCACACTTTCATTACCAACTTTATCGTCTATTTTATTCTATACGAGACCATGAGTTACAAAATCATGCTGTATTAAAGAAGACTTGAAACTACAATTTAGACAAAACATTTTTTTTGGAAAAGGTTGGCTGAGGTAAAGAATCAAGCGATAATTTATCCTAGACTTCTATACCATTTTACTTCTTTTTGCAAACAAGTGGAGTCACCCCCTTCTAGTAATTAGAAATAATTTAGGTTTAAGTAATTTCTGCACTTCTTTATTTTCAGGCCTGGAAGTTTCCGCTGGGTTATTTCAGACACTCGTGTTTTAATTCAGCTTCAGAATTGTTCATCATTTTAATCAGACTATAATGTGAAAATGAGTTTTTGCCGTCCCAATGGAGCTTATCTCTGAGTATGAGCACTCATTTGTGTTTTCATGCTCATGTACTGTATGGATAGCGTGCAATATGGATGTGCGCATTTTGAGATGAATACTTCCACACCTCAGACAGATATGCATAATTCAGAGTGAATTTCATTTACCTTTTATAGTGCAAATGAGCTTCTGTAAGGCTGGAGAATCTTCTTAAATCAATTTGGCTTCTCTACCAGTTAATGTGCTCTGGCTGCTGCATAGTACAGCCTCATCAGGACTCTGTCTGCTGGGTAACGTCTGCATCACTCCATGTTTCCATTAAAATTAGCTAATTAAGATTCATCTCACCATGTAATTAAAGCCTCATTCTTTCATGCTTTTGACTCGTAAATGGGTTTAAAAGTAAAGTTTGAGTCCTGGTTGAAATACTTTGGTAATATACAGTATGTTTGTTAAGAAATGTGCTATTAGGAAGCTAGAAGAAGAAGTTAGAAGTTTGTTTACCCAGGGCCATGTTGTCTTTTTAACACCCTTTTTGTTTTGTATTCAACCCATTTAGAAATAGAAAATGGTTGTTGGATGTATGTTTAAAATATTTTTGGCTATCTAACATGACAGTTAACAACAATACATGTGTTTTAATTCAAGGTAGGTTAACTGCTTGTCTCTCTGCTTTTGAATGTTTTCTCTCATGTACTAGAATCTCATTCAATCATTATTTCAACAAAATACTGAATATTGCGTCACAACAATCAAAGATAATACTTTTTTTCTTCTGGCACTGACCTATATGTGTCCTTTTCTTCCAGTGCACAGTATTTATCATTCACTACTGTTAGAGATACATTATGGTATCAACAATCCGGGAAATCGGCCTTTGTTGTTGACTATGTATTAAATAGCCAACATATATTTGTGCTTTGCTAGGCTAAACATGATTTGAACTATATGTAAACGTCTTGAATTCAAAAAGATTAAATGTACATGTATATACAGTATTTTGCTTCATGAATATTGTTAACAAACAAGTTTCCCGATACTCTTAAGCTTGGTATTACAGTAACTTATCCCAGAAACATTGTGGTACTGCGGCACACTCAATGGTGTTTACAACAACAATCACATTGTGATGTCAAGCCTATTGTATTCCCTTCTGACTACTGTTCATGCTTTTGGTTTTTTTCTCTCAGAATGGCAACATTGAGAACCCGTACTGTAACGGCATGCAGGGGATTCTTGACGCTTACCATCAAAGCCTTAAGACGGTTCAGCTCTACGGACCCACCAACTTTGCTCCAGTTGTGAATCATGTGGCAAGGTACAAGAACAAATTGCTGTACCAGTCAACATCACAGAGCACATCTGTCCTTTCTTTGAAAGTCAATCTGTAAAAAAAAATACCCGCTGTCAAAGGTATTAGAACATTGAGTGATGGGTTCTCTTTGAATTGAGCAGAACTAATGAAGGGAAAATAAACAATCGGCTGCCAAGCGGAGATGAATAGAAATGGTAATCAGGCGTACAGTATGTGGGACCAGATATTTCTGAGTGCAGGTGCTGCATTGCTTTATAGACATCTAGTGCGGTTGGGGGCTGCACCACATGTTTTGTTGAAAAATGTCAAGATTCAGACAGAAGTGAACTTATAATAATGTACAGGTGTACACTCCCCCCCCCCCCCCCATCTGTATATTAATACCTAACTCATGCTGGGATTTAGCTCTCAGTATCATAACTTGCCTTTAACTTGAATATTAATGACTAAACGTTTGTGAACTGCAGTTCTGAACCTGATTTTTAGATGACATATTCAGCATTGACTTGTATTTCTGCTTTGTTAAAAATTACTACATGAATACATGAGCAAGCCACATTAGAGTACCAAGGGCCCCAAAGCTACGACTTTTTCAAGGCCTTTCCCCAGGCAGCTTCACTACGCAACTGTTGCCCTGTCTGACCCGAACACACATCGTGCTTCCTTTGCATACAACGATGCATCAACAATCACCCACGAGTGCAGTATTATCTGTTGCCAACACAAATAGAAGTTATATCATTATTTTTAAGGGATGTAATCAGTGGTGAAAAAGACAGAAAAGCTCCTAGCAAAACGCATCATCATCAGGTCCTATCATAAAAAACCAGAGAACTATAAAACCCAATAAATTCATAAATACAGAAAATACAAAAAGAAAATTGATCGAAGAGATTTGAATTTCTTAATCTCGAAAAATGTACACTCTTCAATTCCCAATATTGTCTTTTGTCATACAGTTATTACTCTTCCAATGTGATCAAATGTCTCAAGTGAGTTTGTTGCAGGGAAGAGGGAAGACCAAGCTCTTTTTGATCTCCTAAACACCGGTCATCGCTCTTGCCTTTGTCAGGCTCTTTGATTAAACTGCCAGCGCCTCAAAGTCAAATTCACCATTTTGAGAGCGAGAGTAATGGCTGACCTCTGACCTGTCCTTGGCTCTTACAGTGTTCTGCCACGATTTCCCCTCCTTTTGCTCATCAAGTGTGTTCAATCATTGCAAGGTGATCAATAATGCTCTGAGAGAATAAGACTGCAGCACTTGCATAAACAGTTTGATAAATAATTCATAAACGAGCCAGCGATGGGCAAATGAAACTAGGCCACACTCACTGTGCTGCCTCTGATGGGTTTCATAATATTGTCTATAGACCTGCGAGACACGAACTGCCATACAATGTATTTCACTTCTGTGCATATCTATATTAAGCCTTTGTGTCAGATGGTGGGCGGGGGGCCACTTTGTCTCTGCTTTTAATCTGCGACTCAGTGATTGCTGCTCTCCGACTTTCTCTGTGGTTGTTCAAACCAATCTCAGAGTTTTATGTAAATTCATAAACATATTGTCTGCATAATCTATTTTTAACTTACATTTACTTTAACATAGTCTATGTTGTACTGTCTTCAACGACTTTATGTAGTTCATTTTTGTTTTCAGCTATGCAGCAGCAGTGCAGGATGGGTCCCAGTACTTTGTTCTGCTCATCATCACTGACGGCGTCATATCAGACATGGCCCAGACTAAGGAGGCCATAGTGAATGTAAGTGCTGCTCTCACACTACCCAGAGGACGTTCACCTCCCTCCCTTTCTCCCTCCCTCCCCACCCTTGTCTTGCTTATTAAAAACTTCTCTCATGCTTTCTGTTTCTTTTAGGGGTTTGTAAGCCAGTAGCACTAGATCTGATGATTTATAGGACGTGTTCTGCTCCACTTGTCTTACCCCTTGTGTTTTGTTAGAGGGGCTCTCCTGAGATTCCCCCACAGGTCAACAGGTTCACCTTCTCGGAGGCAGAGCTCTCACCCAGCGCATCATCTGAGGCTCAGGAACAGGGCGCTCTGACCCACAGCAGACTGGGTTTAAAGGGAATTTGCGACTGTTAATCAAACCTTTCGAACAGCCACACCTTCCTTTTAAGATCTTGTCTGCTGCTCTGCACTGCTCAGCCCGGCCCTGTCGCGTACCTCTGCCACCTCCCACCTCTCAGTTTGGACTTCGCCCCCCAAATTCCTCTGCCCATAGAGCAAAGGACTGAATGACCTGCTTCACTGGGCCTTTAGATTTTGCTCCTAAGAAATACGGTAAATCATAAAGAATGAGTTATGTGCAACGCTCATTCCCACACTTTAGGTTTCTTATTAGTGTTCTCAAAAGCTGTTATGTTTTGTTATTTTTTGAATATTTGCACATATCAGATCCCTGTGGTAATAATGTTGAATGTACTGCTGCTGACCAAACTGTACAGGCCAAATCGAACCAGCTCAGCTTCGCCTCCGGTGACTAATGTGTCCACACATCTTTCAGGACAGCCCCTGGGGGAGTCTTTGCTTTGATGTTATTCCTTTCGGCTCCAAATTTCATTTCAGGAGTTTAAATAATAAAAGAGGGTCTCTTTTTGACCTGGTAGGCCACGTATAATTTAATTTGTGCCCAGGTATTGGATTGTGTCTCCGGGAGTCAGTTTGTTTTCTGGATAGGAGGCTGGCTCCACCGGTAACTTCATAAAACCTATGAATATTTTAGATTGAGAGACACTTGAACAACTGAATTCGGCTTTGTTCATCTGCTGAATCAACAAAACTAACACTCCACCTGTCTGGCCGACGTACAATCATACAAATTGCAGAACAGATACCCTGCTACTCAAGAGTTTAAAAAAAGGCCAGTTATGTCTTTTGGCAAAATGTGTAAAGAAATAATCCATGTGTCTTAAAAACGCATCCATAGAGAACATGAAGCCTTCGTTGTACATGCAAAAGAGTAAATGCAAAAATGGCTAATGACAGGGCTAATCTAATGCTCACTTTCCCCCCCACACACACACACACACGCACGCACGCACGCACGCACGCACGCACGCACGCACGCACGCACGCACGCACGCACGCACACACACACACACACACACACACTGAAGAAGAGAAGAATAACTGCAGGCAGAGAGCTGCAGTGAGATCCCCTGAGTGACTTTACAGTTCAAGCAAAGTAACAAATGGTGTAGACTGAATAATTCAGACCGTGAAACGGAATCTAAAATGACATTCAGGTATATGAGTGTGGGGTCTTTCACGGCTGGAAATGGGCAAGCAGAATGTATGTATTTAGTGCGGGAGCAATAGGTCATGAGGAATGAGCCTGAACATTGAGAAGATGGTCCTCCTTACTGCATGTACTCCTATCTGTGACAGGCCTCTCCCCTCGGGGGGGTTTTTCCAGGAGAGATGACCCACTTTTACCCGTGTAAATGTATTTCCACCACAAGCATACATCATTCATTCATGCCAGAGCTATTTCATTCTCCACATCAGGACTGTGGTTTGGTTTCATGCAGTTGAGAAACTTGTACACCACATACTGTGTGGAAAATAAGCCTTATTAAATCTTTATTGTTATTCATGTTAACTTGAGTTCGTATTGGTGTTAAATTGAAAGGAAATGTAACATTTTTATTCTGGGCTTTATAGTATTTGAAACATTTATATATGCCAAGATCATGAATAGATAATGCAGGACTGAAAATCTTAGTGTATAGGATGTGTATATTTTGTGAATAAAGTGCTTTACTGTATTCACGTTATCTTAACTGTTTTTATCTTGTGCTTTGTTACCAAGTCAAAAACATGTTGTAACCTTATGTACTTTAAATCATTATATTCCACAGTGTAAAAGCGGCTTGTAAATGTGTAGACGGTTTATGAGTAAGGTAAAATATTCTGTTATCTGCTGGCTTTTGTAACAACCTTTGGGACCCTGAGTTGAATAATGTATAGATGCAATGTAATGTATTTTCTTTCAATCCCTGGACAACCCTAACTATACAACATAATGGGAAACACAGTCAAGAAAAGGCTATGTACCAGATATATTATTTGATATCTCTGGAGAAATGTGCTTCCAATGTTAGACTGACTTTGTAAAATACGAACGAATGAATGAATGAATGAATGAAATGTTCCCCTAACAGACAGTGTGTGTGTTCTTGTTCACAACAGGCAGCTAAACTCCCCATGTCTATCATCATTGTTGGGGTTGGCCAAGCTGAGTTCGATGGTGAGAACAGTAGCGTGAATAAAAGCAGTTTTTGGATCTGTTTGCATCAAAGATAGTTTCTTTGTTAAAGTCATATTTACTCTTTAGTTTTGACCCAGTGTATAACTGTTATGATTCATCATCATCAACATGTCATTGACCTTTCTCTGTAGCCATGGTTGAGCTGGATGGTGATGACATCAGGATTTCTTCTCGGGGGAAGTTGGCAGAGAGAGACATTGTACAGGTAAGATGATGTTTTCCTCATACAGCTTGTTACATTGCTTAAAAGGTATAATATTGGTACGTTTCTTACAATGCAGATGGGCCTATTGTTTTTGATTTGATTTCAAAGACATTTATCTCAACAGTTACGAGTCAGACTGTCTTGAAATATGCTATTTATCATTTAGAATCTGAGAAATCTTTACATTATGTTATTATGGTCGCGCTGCGTTAGGGGGCTATCACTTATAGCTATTGAGCATTGAGATTATAAAGAGTGAAGAGGACAACAAGGAATTTAAAGAAAAGCTCAAAAATATTTTGCTTTTCCGAAACAAACATCTAGCAAGCATATCTCCATTGCATATTTTCGGACAACGGCATTCCCCCCCTAATGACAGTAAATGAAAGAATGTAAATACTGCAGTGGCATGGCAGCAAAGAGTGATACGCTGTCTTTGATATTCAAGCAAGGATCTCTTGAGGCTCTACAGTCCAGCCCATTTTTGGCTAGACCAACAACTAACTGTTGTGTTTAAACTGCATTCAACTGGAAAAAGTTCCTATTTATTGATTCAAAATGTGTTTTGATTGACATGTCTCTAAGTTTAGGAGTGGCAAAGAATATTTGGGCATTTCAGGTATCTATAGCTGTGTATCGTCAGCGTAGCAGAGATAATTCATGTCATGTTTGCAAATGAATTCACTAAGAGGAAGCATGATCACTTTGGGACACCCTACGTTACAGATTCAGAGATTGTATTTGCACATTCAGTTCTTTTTGATAGTTACAAATTGTTAGAAAAATATCACTCGTCACCGGCTTGAGTTTCAATATCAGGATACATGTATTTATCATCCTTGCAAGAATGGAAGTAGTCATCACACACAGAGCATTTGGGACAAATAGTTCCCCGAACAGTGTCCTTCACATGCCTTTTATACAAGAGAGTGTCACAAGATGCAGGAATACCGGTTCAAAGCAGTATTCAATGTTTAGTTCAGATTAGCTAAGGCCTGCGTAAGCAATAAACATGACGGTCATATGCCTATCTCCATAGAGGCTGAATCAGCATGTTAATCGTTGTCACATATCATATGCCTAAAACAGTGTGTCCTGACGCTCTTCTAGGTAATCATACATCCTGTTACGTACACAGCTACGTAGGGCCTTTGCTATCATGTGCTACTCTGATATTGGAAGAGTACATTCAGTATTTTCCCAACACAAATAAACCATGAAAGCATGAATTAAAACAAAAAGATATCCTGATTTTTTATGATGAATCCGTGTACATGAAACATTCTTTTCATAAAGTCATATATTTCTTCCAGTTTGTCCCGTTTAGAGACTACATGGACCGCACAGGGAACCACGTGCTGAGCATGGCGCGGCTGGTCAAAGACGTACTTGCGGAGATCCCTGACCAATTGATCTCCTACATGAAGAGCAGAGCCGTTAAACCGAACCCCGTCCCCCCCCCCTTACTCGCCCGTGGACCAACCACAGACCAACCCCGTCTGAGCCCCACACACAGCTCCACGTTGTGGTGGGGCAGGGTAGAGGTGGTCAAGAACTCAAAACCGTCCTTTGGGAAGATGGAAACTCTTTTAAGGCCATTACGTAAATATTAATTTGGCTATACAAAAAAGATGGTAAGACTCCAATTTGTTTTGGAGGAATATGACTGCTTTGGGTGAGGCTGCAGGTGACCATGGAGTTTTCTCTCTCTGCGTGCTTGAGGATGAGAGCGCTGAGAGGAGCTCGTGCTGGAGGAGGTTTTAGTTGTTCGCTGTCAAACCTGTCAAAGTGGTGATGTAATGGATAGCAAGTAAACCCGTAGAGAGAGCCTGTTTGAAGGCATACATATTAGAATGTGCCAGTGTGTATCATGTGTGTGATACCTTTTGGAATAGGTGTGTGTTGATCTAAGATATCATATGTATGCTAATTTATTTTATTTATTGCAGAAATTATTTATTCCTTTGTGGGGGTTTTAGATAGTGGGGGATTAAAGTCATATTTTCCCTGTAGTTTTCCATCTTATATTTTGTGAGCAGTTTAATACAAATAATCTCCATTTCTACTTTGATAAGGACTGTACTATAAAAGCATGGGATAGATAGATCACTGATAGATAGTTTTGATTGCAAGCAGTTATGTAGAGAGCCTGCTGTAAGCTGTTTCCATAATGATTTTTCAGCACCATGTCTTATACATATTTCTAAAATGTATAATAACAGAATGCACTAATTCAGATATAAAGCACAAAGGTTATTATGGGAAATAAGCTCAACATTTTTTTTTTTTTAAAGGAACCAACACCTATCACAATGAAAGTAATGGAAGGGACCACACACGTTTTAACACATATTTTAAACTGGATGAAACAGGAAGAATGTTTATAAGAAAATACTATTCAGATGTATTAGAATTAACATATTTAATCATAAAAACAGTATGTTTACAGAAAATAGATGAATAACTCTATGCACATACTTGCTCTCCCTGTTTGTTTGCAGAAGAAATTATAATCCATGACATAGCACATTTGTCATCCCGCTGTTTGTGTTTCCCATTATATTTGTTGTTACGTTTTACTCTCTGGGATTTTGCTCTGAAGTAAACAAACACACATTCAAAAGACCAATGTCTACTAATACAGTTTCCCCTCCTCCTTAAATTGGTTTGTTTCCCTGTAAAGAAAAAAATCAAACAATCACAAATCTTGCATGAGATATTTGGGCGTTCAAGTCAGCTGTTGATATATTCATATTTGTTCTCTGAATTGTTTTCAAAGACAATGACAGCCATTGTGGCTCAGTTGTGTACATCATATCTATTAATAATGGCCATTGTTTCCATTCGTATCTCTTTGTCACTCAATATCTCAATCCAAATGTGCCTATTATATGGAAACATATCCAAATTAAGTTACCCAGGTGTCATTCTGCCGGCAGCAGCAGGTCTCATATTTAAGATGTACACACGATTTTATGTTCACGATAAAAACTGTTGCAAGATTAGGATTCTTACAAACTATTACATGCTGTCTCAACTACTGTCCTGTACTTTTTATACTAACAGCTCTTCACTTTGGGTCTAAAACAATGAGAGTTAAAAGTGTTGCTAAGCCTTGTTGTCCAATATTTCAAAGTCAAGACTTGTTTACAACTCAACTGTGGCTGTTCACATTGCCTCATGGAAAAAGGAAACATTCATGTGTTTTATTTTGAAGTGAGTTTATAGTTGAGTTGTGCATTATTCAGTCTTGTTTGTACTCGTAATGAGTCTAATTGAATAATACTGGAGAACTAACGTTTACAAAAAGTTGTTGAGATGTTCACACAGACTTCTCACTGTTGTTGTTACAATACTTTGTTTTGTGTTGAGAGCAAATGTGTTTGCGCACCATTGTTAACTGCATACTGTTCTCCGATTCCCGTTACTTTAGTGCTCTCAGCGATAAAATGAAATCCTTTGTTACAGCAGAAACTCCAGAGGAAGTGAACTCCTTCGCTCACAGGCTCAGATCCATATTTGACTTTTTTTTCGTTCTTAATTTTGGATGACATTTTTCCTTCAGAAACAAAGCAGTGTTTGATCTGTTGCCAAATTCAGTTGTTTCAGTGAAATGAGGCCATTGCGTTTAAGCACATAAATCACATTAATACCAGAATACCTCTACAGAAAGCCATTCAGCCAAAAGATAATCATAAACATACATTTATTACATTTCTTATGACATATATATTCAATTAAATACTATCATTTAATGACTTGTATAGCTGTTATATTTTGACTTTCCAAGTACTGTAAACACTTCAAATGTCACTTCATAGGATGATCATAACTCACAGTATGAAAGTCAGCATCAGCATGCAGCGTACTGTATATACTGTGAGTGTGATAGCAAACCCTTGTGAGAGTCAATAAGATAATGTGGAGTTGGCCCTGTATGATGTGTGCACTTTCAGTCATATTTCCTCTATTAATACTACATGACTTTTGAGCCCTTCTACTAAGATTATAAAAAAACTATACTCCCCCCGCCATCTCTGAGTTTTCCTCCACAGGGAAATTAAAAAACGACTACCCCTCAGTACTAAACAAATAATCAATGAAAATGAAAGGAGCACAGTAATGACACACTTATGCAATTGTGAAACAGAGTTATAATGAAATATATTTTTCAGTCTAAATGATGTCTTTCCAACAATTCAATTTACATATTTTCTCTCTGTGGAAATGGCTTTGATTATCTTTTAATTTAATATTTTCTTTGAGGCTAAACTATTTAATTATGTACATAAGCCCCGAATGAAGAATATGAAATGCCAAAATGTGTTCAGTTGTTGAACTTAGCCTCTTTAGACAATATGTGCATGTTTGTGCCACAATGGCAGGAGGTTTGGTAGTCTACCTTTATTTCACCTGATTAGTGCATCCGCCATGTGCTTAGTTTGTTACTTGGGATGGTATTTAGAGATAACAGTCACCTCCAGCATGTTGCATCTCTGGTTTCTTTCCATTCTGTTCCTATACCACACTTTCTGTATGGGATGTTCTTGCCACTACTCCTGTTTTATCCCAGGTTGTTTACATACCTCTCTTGGTCTCTGACTTGCATGCTGAATAATTTCCAAACCAGGTGTTGGACATGATATTGTCGTCATACTGTGGTTTGTGAAATGCTTTGTAATGGATTGCCTTAACTGAAGATTAATAAAATATTGATAACTTTGGCAGAATGCAAGATGAGTGTTCTGTGTGTTTGGTCGCTTTGAGATAGAAGTAAATGGATCGGTAACTTTTAGCACTTAACTCTTAGAACACTTTTAATAGCATACTTCACCAATTTAGCATTGCACTTTACAGTATATATAATAACAATGTTGAACTTTTAATGGACAATATAATTAAGAACAAAATAACCAGAGATATCATCATTTGTATTCCATATGTTCTTCCTCCTTGATAAAAAAGTATCCATAATGCTGTTGAGTCATTAGATTCTTCAAGTTTTATTTTTAAACATTCATGAGATTCTAAGGCAGCTCCCTCAAGCGCCACAAAAAGTCTCATTAAAAGTTTTTTTTTTATCATGCATTAGTACTTCTAAAGAACTGTAAACAGTTTTTTTTTCTGAGCGGCAGGGGAACCAGGCAATCATCAAGAAAACATTGCATAACAAATATCAGATTTGAATTCTTACATTAGGCTATGCACGTCGTTCTATGTCTGATTCTTTTTGAAGGAGTCCCCATGACCTTTGAGCGTTACTTTGCTTTGGTGGACTTATTTAGTCTTTAAATGACTTTTTATTAAAGGTGGGGTAGGTAATTCACTTCAGAAACACTTTTTGTTATATTCCATGGAATGCTCTTAACATCCCGATAGCAATGAATACATTAAATGCTTTGACAATAAATACATAATAAAATGTCATCTGTGGAAGCCGTAATACTGTAAAAAGCACGACCAATCATTTTAGCCGGCCCGGCTAAAATAACTGGATGGCCTACCTGCCTGTCAGCCTTCCATCTGTGCACAAACTTATCTCGTGCCCTCATTGGTCATGTGCGCGTTCGTGTGTGTTGGAGGAGGGGCTCTGTAAGGAAGTCTGAAGGAAGGGGCAGATTTTTTTCGGCTGCGTACTTTCAAATTCTAGCGCACTCGAGCTGGTTTCTCCATTCTTACCTACCCTACCTTTAATTTGTAATGAATTAGGAATTTGAATATGTTAGGTTGTCATAACATAATACTGTGTACTTGACATGTATCAGTGTCATGTTTCTCTTCCCCTCCCAGGTGTACTATGCTGCATGCATTTTACAAGAAGCTAAACTACTGCAAATGGGAAGAATCAGGTGGCGCATTATGACATAGAAGCATTTTGTACTTTGTCGGTTTATTTTCTAAAGTCACCGACAAGTGGGCCAATATGATCCAGAAGGATGGGCATCTAAAATTGGATAAAAACGTATACTAAATCTGCTGTTTGCAGTGAACTGAGAATAACCTTGAGTGAAACAGGTATGTAAACAGTCTTTTATGTGTACAAGTCCCTCAGCTAAGCTTGGCTGTCCACATTTCTTTTTTTTGATGGATCCAACTGTCAGTGAGGGATCACAGTTTAGCTCCTCTCATGAGATTTAGATTGCAGCTTTTTGGCTCTCAACAGGATGGTTGATATGTATCTAGAAATCTATCCCCGTGAGAGTCTGGTGACCAATCAGGGATAAGCATTGTCCTCTCGCAGAATGTCTTCCTCTTAGAAATTGGTTTTTCTGCCCCTAATGAAATGCACTGCTCACGCTTCCAGCACTCCACCTGGGGAGAGGGAGACAGCAGCTGGAGCCATAAATTACCGGCCTAAGATGGAGCCAACACCTCCCTCGCAAAGCCACTTACCGCCTGAACAATAACCCCTGACTGGCAGCCAGGAGGAAAATCAACAGCTAATGACATGGAATTATACCCTACTTATATGTAACGTTTCACATGTATAATGTGCAAACCATTGAAGAGAGAGTTCTGCTAAGAACTAATTACACCAATTACTCTGGAGTTCTGGCAGGCAACATTTTATAAGCCAAAGTAGACATTCAAAAACAGTCTCAGATTTTGGGTTAAACTAAGCTAAAATAGCTAGATTCTCTAAACCTTACTCTTAGTAAGAAAGAGATTGTGATTTCCATCAGCAGTATCTCCAATATAAGACTTTATACACCTGCATGAATCAATGTCTGCATGTTGGCAATGCAGTAACGAATGAAATGTGTTCGTCTCTTATACAAAAAATAAGATTTTAAGTGCTTAAGCTGATAAAAAACTACAGATGGATATTACATTCTCTAAGATAAACATTAAAATAATTTGCTGCAGCTTGCAACTTTTAATTTGGCAGAGCAGTGTTGTCAACAAACACCTATAGTTAGCGTTTGTGAAACAATAAGGTCAGTTGTCAGTGGGGGAAGCACACACTGAATTTCCCTCTGGACTCTGTATTTGTTTTTTATCCATTTAACAGAGCAAGGAAGGTGTGCAGAAGCAATTCCAACTCTAATCAGAGATCGGGGTGGACCTGCGGTTTCAGTATTGACCTGGAAACCAACCAGAACCGGATCTTTCATGGTACATCACTGCACTGCCAGCACTGCCCAATTAAAACAGCAAGATGGGCTGTTTCATGTCTGGTGAGAAAACATCCACCATTGTGTAGAGCTCAGGAAAATTGAAAACATAAAGATATTTCTCTTCAGGTTTGGAGTAGATTCGTTTCAGCCTATACTCCTCACAGCTAGCATTAACTGTATGGTTCACCTCTCTGCTCTGCTGTTCAAAATGAACTCCACTCAGCTGGAGGCTACAACAGAGGTCTCGCTCAGCAGCACAAATGCACTCACTATACCACTATTCACCAGCCACGGCTGTATTGGCTATAAATCATCATTAGGCTACCGATAAAGACTGATCCGAGAAGAATAAGTGAGGTTTTAGTTCACTGTAATAGAGCCAGAGGGGAGAGAAGAATGGTTTCTTGTTACAACCCAATGCTTAGGTAATGTTTGGAGATATCTGAGGCAGAAGAAAATAATGATTGTGATTAAATCTCAATCAGATTCTCAGAATAGAAACACATACATGCCTTCTTTTGTCTGTCCATTTGAAATTTAATTTTGCGACACACTGGATGTAAGATGACATACACAATCTTTATGGTCCGTGACATTTGAATAAATGGAAATGTGCTTGTTGATTGTAAAAACAGAAATATTTGTTTTGGAATAGTGCATCTCATAATTGGATATCACATCTTCTTCCCTGTAGGGATGCAATATGGCATTAAAGCACTTCTAAAGGCAATGACCATACACATTAAAAACACAACAAATGTAAAAATGGAGAAGAGCTGAGTTCCTGGAGCTGAGTGCTGACTTCTCAGAGGGGAGTCCAGCATGCTGAATACCATTACCTCCTGGCAGAGTAAGCCTTATTTACTGTTTGTTGCATACTGGAACAGCCTGTTCCGCATAAAATTGTATTCCCATCACAGACACTGAATTGGAAAATGTCAGAGGTATTTCAGGGAGTTAATGTGATTCTACACTGAGAATGAAAACCCAGTCTGAAATCCAAGGCATGTTTAACTGACTGTGGACGGTCAATTGTATCATCTCAAACAACACTAGGATATATTTACTGGGAAAATAAGTAATGTATTCATAAAAAAGGCTATTCAAATTTATCAGCAAATGATAATTATTTCATATATGTGATATATTAGTGAAAACAATGCTAAAATAATAACTGAATATTATTATTACTGAATTGATTTTACAAAAGTATAACAAAATACATTTTTCAATAGATTTCTTGTAATGTGACTCCAAATCATTTAAGCGTTGTTTTATTACACTAGAAGGTTATGACATAGCTGTTTTGTTGGATTTGAGTGCTTTTCTATTTTATAGATGTATTGTTATGGAAATTAAGCATTTTCTTTAAAAAACAAAAGTCTATATTGTTTTCAAAAGCTTTCATGTCATGTGACTGGAGGACTCCAAGTTATTGGAGCATTGTAATACACTGCTCAAGAAGTAGGACACATCTTGAATATTCTTAAATGAAAAAGTCAGCAGATACTTTATTTCCCTCAATAAAAAAGGTCAGACTACACTCAATTTTAAAATTAAAATTCTCTCCCTCTCAATGGATAATTTCCCACAATCCCCTGAGACTATAAAACCCTTCACACCAACTTAATCTCATGCTAAACCAATTGCTGTAACATCTCAGACTGCTGATGCTTCCAGCAGCCATGAACCATTTTGGCTCTGAGAAACACTCCCTGGCTGATGCATGCCATTTAGCAGCAAGCAGAAAAGTAGCCCTGCACGACCAGCCTTGTCATGCAATAAAAGGCTTTGGAGATTTCTCGGGAGTAGGTGGTATTTTCAAGAGTACTCAGATAATACTTCCTACACTGACAGCTTCTTTATCTGCTGCTTTCTTCGCTGCGCCCTCTGCATTTATTTACTCTGAACCTCAGATTACCTCTTCAGTGACTCTGAGCCAGGACAGTAATCTCTGTGACTGCAGGGGAAAGAATAGAGGAGGCGAGTGATTTCAAAACTGAGAGAGGGGCATCGTATGAGAGAAGAAAAAGAGCCATGAGCATGGACAGAGCACGGGAGGCTGGAGTGAGGAGTAAAGGAGATAAGAGAGTGAGAGAGAGTGTAGCAAGACAGTGGAAGAGAGTATGAGGAGTACAGCAGGAGAGAGGAGGAGCCACCCATAGGGAGGCGATGTCCTTTGAGTCCTGCACCAGCCGCTGGGTCTGGGCCTGTGTAAACCAGAGACTCCCTCCTGGTCCTATGGGATATTAACAAAGAGAGAGTGAGGAATGACTGCTTCTTTCATGGAGAGAAATAAAGTCTCCTGGTGAATTCAAGGCTGGCTGATTGAGGCTCTTTTGATGTGAAAGAACGTGATGAATGAGTTAGAACGTACACTACCTCGCTGTCTTTGTAGTGACGCTCAAAAGCTTGATATTTGCAGAAATTTGATATTTTTCCCGCTGGTAGTGACTGAGCATTGTGGAAAATAGTTTTTAATGATGGTTTGTGGGAAAATCTGAAATGAATCCTAGCTCTTTGAAAGTCCCAAAGCAAAAGCTACGATCCTTTGAAACAATTGCATTTTTGCTGGCATGTTTGACCTCATATCCCTTTTTCTCTGTTTT